CAGCAGTTGTCCATTTTTCATTTTCGTAGCCAAAGCTGTTAATTAAAATTCCAAATCTAGATCATGAGGATACCAAATAGGGATACCTTTCAGCTTCTTAAAAATCTTATTTTCCCTCTGCTTTCCTCTACAGTGACTCAGTTTTTCTTAGCATTTTATTTCGGGAGGTACTTGTTGAGGCCAGCCAGCAGCTGTGGCGTCCTGCTGTGGCCGTGAGCACAGTAGTGCTGTGTGACACCCACAGGCGAGATCGGCCAGGACGCCCGTCCTTTGGAGAGTAGGGCAGGCCAGAGCCCCACGGCACGAGGACGCCTTTTCCTGAGTGGGGATATTGGAGGAGAAGCAAAGGAGGGAAATGGGAATAACATTAACTAAATACTACAGAGTTAGTCTCCAAACTTCCTCCCAGAACAGGGGGTACTTTTACAGTGCCGGACTCTGCTTTGTCACTTTAATCTGGTTTAGGAATGTACTAGTAATAAAAGGATGATTGTGACTTGAATGGTTTTTTATAGAATACTCAGTGCAGAGTAGTGAAAATGTCCTTTGGATTTCTTCAGAAGTGCTGTGGGTGGTCCTTGCCTTAACGCGGTCTGCTTGGCTGGCCAGGAGCACTGGAGCTTGTAGCGCGCTGTGTTGAAGGGAGACGAACCCTTGTTCAGGAAGCCTTAGGAAGGGACCTTTAAATGAGTACTCTACACAGACAGGTAAAACTTCTTTAAACTGGATAGTACTCGACGTGTTATCAAATGTTTCCACTACATTGAAGCAAACTTTTCTTTAAGTGGAATACAAATAGCATTTTACTTTTGTTTTTCTACATTTTTTTTTATTTCTTTGGTAATGGAAAGTCTGTTGATGAATATTTGTGTCAGACTCAGTCAAGTCTGTAACCTTTCCAAACCTGTGGCCCTGTTCTTAGTCCCACGGGAGTCCATGTTGGGAGGTGTATACACTGGATCTTAATGTTGCTGAGTGAGTCTAGCTGTTTGGAATTCAGTGGTGGAAAAGAAACAGCACAATTGCCACTTGCCATTTTAATGGTTATTGGAGAAAGAGAACCGTTTAAGTTTGTTTGGATTGGGTGAGCAGTCTTCTAAAAGGAGCTTCTGAAGTAATTGCAAAGGAAGAGTCAACTATTTTTATAGCATATTTAATATATTTGTATATACCTATGAGCAGAGTAGAACCCCTCCCTGCCTCCCACTTTTCTAACTTCCTTCCCTTTTGCCGTAGTGCTAGTGTAGCCTCATCCGCATGGTGATGTGCCTACTGTCAGCCTACCAAAAGACAGTGCTGCTGCTTTTTGAGACAGGTGAGAAGACCCAACTCTCATGCCTGGGGATCCTTTACGGGAGGAATAGCACACACTTCTACAACATACCACAGTCTGAAAGTCATTCTGAGATGTAACAAGCACTTTATTGCAATTACTCATTTTGATAATAAGTTTATTATCTAAGGCATTAACCATTTCTAAAGGATCCCCGAATCATCACTTAGGTGAGATTATAAGATGACACATTTCTGAGAAATGTTTAGATCAGTGAACCGTAGCAGGTTTATGGGAGTGATTCAAGGTAGCCAAATGAACTTTGACTTTGTTTGGAATGTGGTGGAGTCGGGACTGTAGATGCCTGGTCCCACTGAGACACTATTGTAAACCGATCTTGCCTATTGTGTGGACACCAAAAGAGACCAATGAGCCTGTTGTTTTTCAGAGGTCTAGGAAAGTTGCGTTTGTGTGAAGTAGATGTACAAACTGATCTTAAAGTGATTGGTAGTCCTATTTTAGAACACAGCTATTTCAAGAATTAGTGTTGAGTGTTTTAAATATGCCCTGAAATGTTGGCATGTCATTTCAGCATTTCCAATTGAATTGCTCTTGTAATATTTTGCACACAAAGGACTGAGAAAAAGACTGGTTGATGGAAAAAAAGTGTAATTTGGTCTTATTTTAATGTCTCCTGTTGAAATACTGGGGATGAATTTTGTTGGTTTAGTTATTGATTCAGGATATTTAAAACTGTTGAACAGCTCACGAGAAATTAAGCCAAGTTGGATATTTAAAAATTAAAATACTTTCTTTCCATGTGACTGTTTTGCATAGTTTTTCCCCCATGTCATAACTTAACACTACATTCCTTGTATTTTCTTAAATAAAATACTTTGCAGGTTTTGAGTATTTAACAATATTTTGTAAGCTGCCTGTTTCCCAAGGGAAATGTTCTTTACTGAAATAGGATAGTCTGTGAGACTATGACGTCAGATTCCATCACCACCACCAGCAAACACTGAGGTGCTGCATTAAGTGACAATCAACATAGTATTTATGAAAGAATTTAGGAAGTGATTGAAAGGAGTAATTGTTTTGAAAGTTCTCTGGGTTTTTTGAATAAAAATGGCTAAATGTATTTATTTATATTTTTAAGTATCTTGGCATTCTGTTTTCTCATCGTGATTCCAGTGTCATGTATTTAATATGTGGTTCGTGTTCTGGTTCGCATTGTCATCTGACTTGGAGAACTGGCTCTTATTTAGGTACAGTCACCGGCCCTAATCCCAGTCTGTTTGACTTCAGGATGGCACTGGAGGCCCAAAGCCAGGTGCCACTGCACTTCCCTCCTGTTCTCAATGCACTTAACAATTTCCCCTCAGTCCCTCGCCCTTTCCACATGGCTTCATAGAGCTCCGGCCTTTCCTAGCTTCACCCGTTGCCTTCTCTGTTTTCTGGGCACTTTGAATAGTCCCTTCCCTAACACAGCCAAAGGCCACGCGACAGGACCAGCCCGTGGCACCCGTGGCCTCTGTTTTGCCTATTCGGGGAAGAGTTGGTAAAATGGCACCACCTAACGGCTGTTACCATATCCATACTAAAGTCCACAAATATCACACACTGAAAACGTCTGCAGAAAGGTGTTTGCTGTCTTTAGAGTGTAGCATTGTTGATCTTTTAAAAGCCACACACGCTCTCAGTACACACCACCATCCCACAGAGCAGTGCCTGCACCTTGGAAGCCCAGAAGGGAGGAGCCTCACTTGTGCTTTGGGACATCTTCCCTTCACGGCACACTTACAGACTGGTCACTTAGAGCACATCAACCACAAGGTGAATTGCCTGTCTCCTTCACTCTAGGATTAAACTGAAGATATGTTTCAGGTGTATGCTTTTACATTTCTGAAGAAACAAACTGACATCGCTTTTTAAAATGGATTCGAGTGTTTTACAGTGCTTGCGAGTTGGCCTGTACCAGTGCCATGTCACTGCTGGCAGTGGCCGTGCCAGGGAGGTGAAGGTGCCAGGAAAGCTGTTCTCACATTGATGTGTTACTAGACAATCATCTTCAAGCAAAAAAGCTGGCCAAGAACTGTCCTTTTTAAAATAGAAATGTCAACCTGAACAGTTGTGAGGCCATCCTAGAATTATCTGGGCATCTATTTTCCTATGATGTCATTTGGGGAAGGCCTCAGTGTGGCACTTTCATATTCGCTCTATGTAAAGATTGAAGCCCAAAGACAAGTTAAATTCAGTGCTGTACTGAAACCAGTTAGTGCAAAAAAGAAAAGTTTTATCTTTGTAAATGTTTAACTGTTAACATCAGTTGGTAGTTGTGAAAACAAGCACCCGATTCTTTCTGATGTCCTGTGTGGTTCTTAATGTGACGTCAACACCGCTGTCCGTACTGCTTGGTTCTTGGTTTTAAATCCCAAGGTAGATGTAGCCAGTCTTCCTTCCTGTAAGAGGGTGGAGCTATACATGGCTAACTGGTCTTGAGATCAGAACCCCTTTTTTTCCTAAAGCAAACATTTCATTGAAATCCAAATTAATTTACAAAAATGAGACTGACATTTTCCAGGTATTGCCTTCTGCCAAAACCCTAAATTGCACAGAAGCCTGAGGGGTAATGAACGGTTTCAACGGTGCTATTACTGGGTTCTCTCGGTTTTCATGAGCTATGTCTGGAAATACAATATTGTGAAGTTATGTGGATCCTTTTGTTACCAGTTTAATATTGCCATTTTAACTTGGTGTTACAATTGGTTACGCTTGTTTTTCAGAGCTATCCTTTGAGAATTCAAAAATGTTTATTAGCCTACCTCCACTCAGGCCTCTTGCTGTGTGATTTTTCCAGGTTATGATGTGCATAGCTTTTAAAAACGACACGTTAAGTATGACGATGCTCTTTCCCATAGACTCTTGTAATGTATTCAGAACCGAAAGTTAGAGCAAAAGAGCCAAGCAGTAGAATATTTTTTTTGTAAATGTAAAACTAATTAGATCCAGACTTTGTTTCCTTCTTCAGTTTTAAAAATAAAAAAATACCTCAGTGCTATGTTTTCAGTATCACCTGCATTTCTCAAAAAAGAACACCTGCTTTATGTGGCACATAACTTGTAAGAATCACATTATTTTGGATTTTAAAGACTATTAAATATTTTAAAATCACTACCAATGATATTTCTTTGTTTCTTTCACCCAACAGTGGAGCCTAACCACATTCCTTTGTAGTGTAGGTCACAGTTCACAAATCCTCGTGGTCACGTCCTGCCTGCTACAAGACTGCTGTCATTCATATTGAGCTATGAGCTAGGACCAGGACCAGGCTCGCCCCTTGTCAGGTTGAGGCTATGATGGGAGAAGCTACTTTTTATTTTGGAGAGGTTTTTGCTATAGGGTGCTTGCATTCACCATAAAGAGAGCGAGACAGAAAGCGAGAAATCACACACACACCCCCGGGGGGGGGGTGGCCACACCGCAATCCCTTCTCCATTCTCCTCTTGGTCTTGGGCACGCACATACACACGCCTGGCCTGAGTTTAAGCCACCGTGTCCGGGACTCGAACCGTGGTTGACTACACGGGAGCCCAGCAATAGCCATTATGCTAACTGCTGGTCCCAGTAGAAGCTACTTTCTACAAGGACTTGTCCTTCCTCTTCTCAGAAGTTGTTAGTGACAGTTTGTCATTATCATAATGCAAGGCAATACTGGGGGTGTTACCAGGGAATGAAGGTACAGTGTGAGGGAACCTAACCTGAAATTTCTTTTAAAAGTGCTTTCTAGGAAAAAGAATGCCAAAATCAGCAGTCTCCTGGAGGAGCAGTTCCAGCAGGGCAAGCTGCTTGCCTGCATTGAATCCTGACCAGGCCAGTGCGGCCCTGCCGATGGCTACGTGTTAGAGCACAAGGAGCTGGAGTTCTACCTGAGGAAAATCAAAGCCCAGAAAGGCAAATAGCCCTTCCTATCTTCGCTCTGTAATAAAGGTGTTTATTGTTCACGTCAAAAAAATGAAAAGTGCTTTCTATATCTTCAGGTTTTTGCCATAGGGTGTATGCACTCACTGGAGAGAGACAAAGACAGAAAGTGAGAAATCTCCCCTCGGGGATGGCCACACCACAGTCCGTTCTCCAGCCTCAGGATTTTGGGCAGGCATGCACCCACGCCTGGTGTGATTTTCAAGCCTCTGGGTCTGGGACTTGAATCATGGTCAGCCATGTGGGAGTCCAGGGTCTTAGTGCCATGCCACCTGCTGGCCCTGAAGTAATTGATTTTAATTCATGGACATTGTGTTTTTCTGCCCTATAATGTATCATTTTTTATGGTATTTGGTCATCAGCCTGTGCTGCGGCCTCCAACATTTGGAAGTTCCTTTTTGCTGCAGTCTGACTGCAGTTACTGCCATTTCCATGCAGCACGGCTGCGGCATTGACAGCGCTGGAGGTTTAAGGGTTCTCTCCCAGTCTTCGGCTTGCGGGTTGTTTCCTGTCGTGGACCTTCATAGCAGCTCGGTAAACATGAATTGATCTGAGTCGCTGTTCCACCTCACGGGAGAAAGACGTGGATGTTTCTATTAAGTATCATTCGGGTATAAAGAGGCTGTGGATGGTAGGGCCACGGCACATGACACCAGACCACCAGGCAGAAGGAAAGCAGCTGCCGCCCTGCGTGGGTGCACATACATTTAGGTGGCCTGTGCTGACACGTCGCTGTGATGGAAGCACGAGTGACTGCAGGCTCTGTGGCAGCTCTGGGCGAGCCCCCCCACCCGGCCTTACACTGCTGCCTGCCTCACAGAACAGGGTTAGGACTGCCTACAACAGTGGCCCACATCAGCGTTTCGGCATCAGCGCTGGAAACTGGTCTACAACAGTATGCCGTTAAACTGGAAAGTTAGGAACTTGTGTAACAAACAAGGAAAGACAAGCACTGATCGTACCACTTTATTTACACTGTCTCTATGTTACACTGTTTATTCAATATAGAAAAATATGAATACATTCACAGTATTCTCTTAATTTGGTTAATTCCACATTGTCAAATATTGACTGTTTTTTTATTGGGTATCCTACCCAATTTAATAAAGAAAAAAAAGGAGGAAGAATGGATCTGGCAAATAATTCTTGTTTTATCATGATCCTGATAGAATATTTGTCTTTTTAAGCAAAGAACCTAATTTTGAAAAGACTTGAATAAGTAACTTTAATAGCACAGAGAAATGGTTTTAAAGAATAGAAATTTTTTCTTCCCCAAGAAAAATTTCAGGACGGGCATCTTAAAACACCTCAGTGACCAAGGAGAAAAATCTGTATTAGAAGGGTCAGTGCTGAGAGGACACCAGGGAGTGGACCCCCACTTCACAATGGCTCTGTAGAGGCTGAAACCAAGGGGGCCGCAGTAACTTAATTACACTGGAGAAAAGAAGCCGCCACACTCGGAAGTCAGGTTTCTTTTTAAAATCCATGTTATAAATAGAATCAGTGATTATCTCTTGGACATCATACTTTCATTAACTGGGTCAAACTCACAAACCAATGCTACAAAATACAGTATTTCCCATCACTTTCGGTTGTAAAATGTACACTATATACAGAACGAGGTGCCTATAAGGTAAATACAGATGAACAAACAGCTTGTTAAAAACCAGAATCAGGGCTTATAAATAGTGCAGAAAATGCAAACAGCAAAAATACGATGCCTCCTATGATCGTCACTGGAAGAGAAGAGAAAAAAGTTAACTCAGGCAACATCCCTGTACCTCACGACGTTAGGAGGGAGCTGATCAGGCTGTCTGCTGGGTTCCTGATGTGCAAACTAACCTTGAAACCAAACTAGAGCCAACTGGCATCCCATTTATACAGCTAAAAACTGAACACACTTGGCTGAACAGAGTCGGTTTCTTGCCCAGCTGTCGTGAAAAATAACAGGATTATAGTCAATTGAGACTGCGGACAGGAGTAGAACTGCACCTCATCCGAACACCCAGTAGAGAATGTTCAACTAGTGATTCCACCTTCAGACCTAACTACTCATCGCTGCACAGGAGAAGCCCCCCCCCGGTGGGGGGTCAGCCTCCACCTGTGAGGCCCAGTTCTGAACAAGGCACGGTCGGACGGCTGAACGTTCCTCGTCCCGCGATGGCTTTCGCTGGTACTGTGACTCGGGTAGTGCTTTCATATTAACCTTTTATCTTGCTAACTTCTGCACATGTGAAAAACAGCCCCAATTCACAGTGGGTATTCCTGAGGACCGCTAAGACAGTACTTAGAAAGACCAGGCAAACCTGAGAATTAAAAACATAACCAAAGCTAATCTTTTCCTAATCTCTTGGTAAAGCCAAAAAGTTAAAACAAATGGCGTTTGCTTTCTAGCTGGGGAAAAAAAAAAGCTTACCAGTTCTGACGGAGATTTTCTGGGCTATCATTCTTCCTCCAATCACTGCCAAGCCCGTGCACAGACAGTGGCCCACTGTGCCACCCACGGCCACTCCATATGGGTCCTGCAAGCAAGCACAGCTGGCGTTCACCCAAACTGAAGGGACGGCTAGTGGGGAAGGTAGCTTTTAGGACGCACTGATGATGGGGGTCAGCACAGAAACCACAGGGCAGTCCTAGAGTTCAGGTGTGAAACAAACAGATGAAAGGAGGAACAGCTGCTGGAAGGAGCATGTACCAGTGAGATCTAGGACTAGAACCAAAAGCAGAAAAGAATCAGTTTGTAGAATCAAAACAACCCTGAAGAAATGAACTAACAGCCTTTCAGCAGCTGTTAAACTGCGCTCACAGGCAATGCAGAGCACTCAGAGGACAAGCGCTGGGGAGACGAGCTAGACCTCTGCCCTCAGGGAGGGTTGCTACTGGGACAAGGTGAAGCCAACTGCATGGTACAGAACGGTGGTGCCCGCTTCCTGGGAACAGCCCTGCCACTGCTCTGCACTGCACTGACGCTCTGAGCTCCGTGCTGGGAACAAAGCATTCACCTGGTACTCGCACGATACCAGAGGGAAGCAGGCACACTCAGGGAGATCAGCGAAGGTTTCCCAGAACATTGCCCTGGAGAACCAGAGGAGCTAGCAAGAGGCTTTGATTTCATTTGTGGGAGAAGGAGCATATTAAGTAGAAATGAACAGGCAAGCAGAAGAGGCAACCAGATGCAAAGGACTTTAGCACTTTCAGTTGAGACTTGCCACTGTTTTTTGTTTTGTTTTTAAGAAACATTTTTGCTGTAGGGAGCATGCACTTGCCAGAGAGACAGAAAGTGAGAAATCACCCCCAATGGGAGAGGGCCACACCACAGTCCCTTCTCCATTCTCCTCTTGGGATTTTGGGCATGCACACATGGTCACAACACTGGCTGATCTTTACAAGTGGCGTGGTAGTTAGGGTGCTAGACTCCGACATGGCCAACTGTGGCTCATGTCTGACCTAGTGGCTTGCTTTCTCCTTTCTCTGTCTCTCTCTGGTCAAACTTAAATGATAATAATTCTTTTTTTTTTTTTTAAAGGAATGACAGACCAGATTTTGCTTTAAAGGAGTAAAGAGAACTGGGGTCAGATGGTGCGACAGTGGTGAAAAAGGGCTCTGCAAGGTAGACACATGGGAAGGATCCTCGCTTGAGCCCGGAGACCTCCCTGAGCACAACACAGCACACACGTTTGCACAGGTCTGCCTGCAATCTGAAACCAGCTGAAGGCTGGGGCAGTCATAGGGTTGAAACCCTGCTGGTGGTGCGCTCTCGTAAGAAATAAATGTGTTGGGCCAGAGGTGGTATAGTGGTTAAGGCGGCTGGATCCCATATGGCCAATTATGTAGTTCAGGTCCCAGATCTAGCAGTTTGAAGAACACCCCAGAGGGTGTAATGGTTACATAGTCAACAGCAGTTTGAGCCCCAGACCCAGTGACTTAACACTCACGCCAGGTGCGTTTGTGTGTGTGACCAAAATCCAGAGAGGAGAATGGAGGAGAAGGGATTGTAGTGTGGCCATCTCCCCTGCGGGGTGATTTCTTGCTTGCTTTCTGTATCTGTCTGGTGAGCACATACACCCTGTGGCAAAAATCTGTTTAAAAACAAAAAAACACGCCAGGCATTAGGTGCATGAGTCCCTAAAATTCCAAGAGGAGAATGGAAGAGGGGACTGTGGTGTGGCAGTCCCCCTGAAAGGATGATTTCTCACCTTCTCTCAGTGGAAGCATGTGATCTATGGCAAACTCGTAAAAAAAATAAAGTTTGGGTAGAAGAGCAAAAGAAATTGGGCTCTCAATTTTGGTGGCAGGATCAGGTGTAAATCAAACAGTGCAGCACATGAAATCATCTCTGACCCGCCCTGACTGTTCAGTGTCCTCTGAACAACGTCACACCACTCACCTCTCTCGCTGCCAAGACGATCGTCGTGAGCTGAGAGCGGTCTCCCCATTCTGCTAAGAACGTTAACGTAAGAGCCTGGACGAAGATGGGTGAGATGAAATGCAGCCACTTCTTCTGCGGTATCGCTGTGCTTGTCCCCGCTTCCACATCTCCTGGGCCATTTAAGAGTTTGGTTCGCTGAAACTAAAAGAGTAACAATCCTGAGGAAACAAGTCAAAATAGCACCAAATCCACCTTTCTTTTAAAAATTCTATGGGTAAGTTCCAAAGAGACTAAATTTTGTGACCCAAAACTGCCCTTTAGATAAAGCACTAGTTTCACACAGCAACAAATGCTGTACTCTCAATTCTTCTGTCCTCCCCACTAAACACGATTTACCACGAACACTATCCACAGCGACAGAACACGCACAACCATAAACGAGAAGTTCTGCTTT